GTGTGTTAGTCAAATCAGGGATTGCAATAAAGTTAACAAGGGGTTTAATAATCCAGTCATGGTTTTTTGTGTGTTGCCTATGGATTTTGTTGACATAATAAATGTGGTAGTGGATATGCTCTACTGTACCTCCTGGAAAACAGACTCTGCAGTGACAGGCAAAGCTACATGCCTGATTTGGAAATATTATAGTGTAAAAATAATGCAATTGCCATTCCTGACAGCCGTCAGTTCCTCTGCAAATAAGCACTCAAGCAGATCAGAATACAATACAAAGCTGACCTTGTTGTTCAATCTCTGTACATCTATAGATACAAGCAGATTCACTGTATTGGTTAGGTAAGGCCAAGTCATTAACTCGGGTTGGTATACTTAAGGGTAAAGGAGCACCACAGGGCTTTTTTATGTATCTGTTTGAGAAGGAAACAGATCATGAAAGAAACAATAATCTCTGAAAGGAGGATAAAATGCAAATCCAAACTATTGTCAGAAAGACATGAAGAATCAAAGTGGATTCAATACAAAATGGTTCATCACAGTAAGTGTGCATGTATGCAGTCTAGAGAAATTATTGCATGGCTGCTAAAAAAACCCTTTCCTCTGAAAAGAGGAAAATAAGGAAAAAATCTTACTTTGTCTCATTATTTTCCTCTTGGTAATAGCTACATTGACATAAAAATTGAAATATGTTTAAAAATTTTAACAGCTTTAAATTTAAATATTTTAATTTCTTTTTTTTTTCAAGGACTTGCCTTATTAGGAACAGACTTACTGGAAGGTCATTTGGGATTTGCTTTTTAAAACAATTTTTAAAATTCTTCTTTGTGTTGCAAATTCTGCAAGACAAAATACCACATTATCATGTGAAAATCAGTCTTGGCCTTAACACAGCTTTCACACCTTTGCAGATCCCATAAAGAACAGCTTCTTCACACTGTAAAGGCATGTCATTGCACTTTTTAGCTCACTGTCTTTTCATTGCTGTATCATTTTAGAAAGTCAAAAGAATTATAGTTTCATATTACTGTGTAAAACAGCATGTCTGTGTGATAGCAAGACACATATGTGCATAGGGATCTGAAGTCTTAAGAGTTCTCTCTGAAGAGACTGAGGAAAATAACACATCTCATTTAGAAAGGAAAAGATGTATAATTCATATATGTTTATTAATTATTATATTTAACTGTTTAATGCCAGCTTTATGAAACAAATTGCATTTATGCCATCCTGATAGCTACTTAATTGTGCATGAATAATGAAGGCATAAAATCTTCAAGCAAAGCTGTGACTTCAGAATTGAATTATGAACTGAAGCCTTTCTTTCAATATCAAAGCCTTAGTTTTGAGTAACGTTAAAAATCCGCTCAAATGGTCTTAAAGAATATCAGAGGTCTCACTGTGGGAAATTCTGAGACTATTTTTCAAAAAATGACTGACATCACCTGCAAAAAAGGTAAAACTTACCTTTTTTTGTCCTTGCAAGTTTCACTTGCGTAACGTTCCACAATGCAATGTTACAAATTGGAAACAAAGCTGCAAGAAGCAGCAGTTCTAGGAAGATGTAAGGAATTCTGCATGTATATATGTAGGAGTCTGTGCACATATTTAGCCAGAAGCTTACATTATAAGTATGTCAAATCGTACCTTCACACAAACTGGTTGGAAGGAACAGATTTAGGAGCAGGTTGACGGCTGGCAAGTGCGCGTCCGCACTGCCATCTGGTGTTAGTGACTGCATCAGTGCCTCCTCCGTGACGCGTGGTCCATAACGGGTCGCACCCTAACTGAGGAGTCCTTCAGTTGTTTTGGACCTACCCATAGAACTTATGAACAAAGAAACTTCACTGGAATGACGTTTTGATTTAACTGTTTCATGGAGTCTATTTGTAAAACAGGAATGTTGTGATGACTTCGTGTGAAACCAACACAAGGAATGCAAGTGTTTTCCTCTGAATGGTGGCTATATTGGGCTCTTCTTTTTCTGTACAACAGTTTAGTAATGACAGTCCTATGTTCTTCCAGTCTCACCTATGTAATTCCCTCAATCTTTATTCCTAATCCAACACAGTAATGATCTAACGAAAACTGCAATGGGGAAAATCTGATATAATATGACCAGCAAATATAGTTGTTAAATCCCCTTCTTCACCCTTAGGGATTCCAGTCAGGCTGCTAAAAGCAAAGACGAAAGAACTGTGTAATAGCACAGTCCAATCAGCAAATACGGCACACAGAGTCATCCTATGACTGAAAAAATATTTATTTATTCCCAAGTTTTCCAAAGAACAGTTTAAATGTGTGCAACTGTAGTGCACCTCTCCACCTGAAGCTGCCAGTGGCTGCAAGCACTCCAACCCAGACTACTTGAATTTTCAATAGTCAGGCTAGTTCATGCCATTATCTGGGACGTGTCAGTTTTTAACCTATTCAGTGTCACTCTGCTAAGTTTTTAAAAGAGTTATTGCTTTGAAAATCAATAGTTACACTCAGAAAAAGAGAACAAGAAAATAAAAAAAAGAGTAGGAAAAAGGAAAGAGAATTAAACTCAAACTGTACGTGTAACATGGTCTTTTCTAAAACGGGGACAATCTTTCATTTCCACAACAGCCTGCTGGAATCCACAGACACCCAGCAACCACTGTGCTGTCATGGGCGGGTGGCACAAGAGTTTGGAGAGTCATGTCCCTGACAGCTCCCTCCTGATGTTTATTTTCATTAGTTATTAAGGAAAAGGAAATCATCGCTGTAACTCAAAAATAGCTACATTGGGCTTTTTCAGATACAGGATAATCATCCCACAGCAATTCAGCCCACCCTCAAACAACAAGGCCAGAAATCTAGATTGTTATTAATTCTTCTTTTTTTTTTTTCCTTTGGGCAACATGTAAGTTGTTTTTATTCTCAACATACTGATTTCAAAATCATTCTGTGTATAGTGTCCATTTACTGCAGTTCAGCTTGAATGTCTATGAACAAAACCTTGCAGTTAAACATTTGTGTTACTAATACTTGACATATTCACCTCCCTGTTCTCTAGAGTCTAATGGACTCATATTTTATACTGTTAAATACATTTAATCAGTTTGCCAAAGCAAACATAGATTGAATTTTGCACTTGGAAGGTCTTTTGTTATTAGGCCAGAAAATTTTCTATATGACATGACAACTCTTTTATGGAACTCCTAATTTGGTATATTTTGTGACAGTTTAGATGTTCAGCACTTTCAGAAAAGAAGGTATTTAAATACAGGGCTTAACCACTGCACATGCAGTGCTATTTACTACTTTACGTAGGTTACCTTTAAACTCTCCAATTGTACATGACTTCTATATACTAATTTGATAGAAAATGAGACATTGTTATGGATGATATCCAAAATACGTTTTTACTTAAACAACAGCATAAATAATGAGCTTATAATCTATTTTTTATTTAAGAATAACTCAGAGTTTGGGCAGTCCAATCTGGAGTCTGTTTCTTTAGTTTGTGGCCAGATTTTGTTCAAACACTTGTAGTCTTACAAAGGTTAATGCTTATGATTTGGTAGTCAAGAACAGCATTCATCTTGTTTTTAATAGTAAAATGACTAAACCAAATATGTAACGTTGTAATATGACTAGACAGTCCTCTTTCTTGATCTTGAATTGAATTACTGAGTGGTTTTCTTATCATCTGTGGCATCCTTCTTTGTCTGATTCATCTAATTAGGGCTGTAAGGACCTCCTAATACTCTGCTTAGATGTGTCTGGTCTAAGGTAGACATCCACCTTTCTTCTTCTGGAGAAAATGGTACCTCCAGTAAGAGTTTTTCCATTCTGGTACAGATGTCTAAGACTAAGGGATGCTGCACAGTCTTGCTAGTGCTTTCTCACTGCAGGGAACATACCTGATTTGCACCTGGCAGTTCTGGTATCCAAAATTCTTCTATTGGCAATGATACTGAGTCATGCAACATCTTCTTCCTTGCCTATTGCCATGAGCTGTCTTTGGAAGGAGACACGGGTACACAGAGAAAGAGAGCACTACAGTATCTCTTACCATCAGCCTGGGATCTGACAATTATACATGGGAAACTGAACTGCTGATGCACCTCTGCCACAGTGACATCATCATTCCAGCCTAAAATGGATAGGCGTTGTGTTTTAACTCCAGCCAACAACAAAGCCCCACACAGCGGCTTGCTTACTCATGCCTGGGGGGATGGGGGAGAGAATTGGAAGAGTAAAAATGAGAAAACTCGTGGGTTGAGGTAAAGACAGTTTAATAGGCAACACAAAAGCCATGCAGTAAGCAAAGCGAAACAAGAGGCTCATTCACCACTTCCCATCGACAGGCAGGTGTTCAGCCATCTCCAGGAAATTCATTCATCAGGGCTCCATCATGCACAACGGTTACTTGGGAAGTAAAATGCCGTAACTCCAAATGTCTCCTCCTTCCTACTTATTCCCCCAGCTTTATATGTTGAGCATGACATCATATGGTACAGAATATCCCTTTGGTCAGTTGGGGTCAGATGTTCCTGCTGTGTCTCCTCCCAACTTCTTAGGCACCCCCAGCCTAGTCACTGGTGGGGTGGTGTGAGAAGCAGAAAAGGCCTTGACTCTGTGTAAGAACTGCTCAGCAATAATGAAAACATTTCTGAATTATCCACACTGTTTCCAGCACAATTCCAAAACATAGCCCCATATTAGCTACTATGGAGAGAATTTACTCTGCCCCAGCCAAAACCAGCACAGTAGCACAAAGTGTGCTTTTTTTCTTTACCGACCAAAAACAAAAAAAGAAGCATCTTAAATTATAGTTAAGATATATATTAAACTTGAAGATGACAATGATTAAATTAAATTACTTCCACCTTAAAGTGTATAGTCTTTGCATGTTTGAAGGGACTTGATACTTCTGAATGTAAGTTGTTTTGCCTTCATGTTCATCAGATGGGCAGTTCTTGTAATACTGTGATTTTCTTTCATAGGTGACACTACTGTATGCCTTTCTTCAAATGAGACACAACTTGAAATATTTTGATAAAATGAGATGCTTGAGGAAACGATCAGCAGTGTCATTCTTAGGAGTCCTTGTCATTTGCTTGCTGTTCATGAACTTGTACATTGAAGATGGTTATGTTTTGGTAAGTTTCTTAGATGGAAGAAATGATCCTGGAACAACAGAAAAAGATACATCCCTAGTTACGCAGTAAAGTTCATAATTCCTACAATTTCCCCTGTTAGTGTACTGTTAACAGTGAAGTATCCTCAAAATCTGTCCTTTATGATGAAGACATCTTATCGATATATACTGCACACAGGGTGTGTCAGTAAGACCCTAACAGTCCTTTTCACAGAAGAAAATATGTCATTGTTTATTGGAAGTATGGGAGACAATGAATGGGCAAAACATGGAAGTAATCTTCACCAGGTATCTTCCTGTGAGTCAAAACATCCCCTGTGTTTTCTATGCTTCTGGATCTCCCTTAATTTTAATGTTGAAAATCGCCTACATCTGAAATATTGATATGAGCTAGGATCTCCTTTTCCAGTCTACACTGCAAATCTCACCCGCGAATACTGTATTAAACAATACTATAAAAATACAATTATAGAAGGGAACTTACACTAATTCCATATATTTTAAGCTTGCACGAATAATTTCTTTTTAGGTATTTTATTCTGTGTTTTTCTCACTTTCTGTATCTCAGATTTTGAGTCTGGTGGGTTCAGTGCTACAGCCCTAACAACAAGACTTAAACGATACCTTGAGTAAGTTTATGATTCTGAAAAAGATATATAGAAAGATTTGTATTAGGAATTTCTACGAGTAATTATCCGACAATTTGACGTAATTCTACAGTTTGTATGTAACCCATGGGTATCTCACTGCTGAATGTCAAGTAAGCCCTGAAGCCTGGATTAATGGATTGAATTTCCAGTTCTTCAGAGGTTGGACTGGGCCCAGTAAAATAATACTCCCGTAGCTTAATAACGAGAGCTTCCAAATAGTAAATTTACCAAACTTGAATATGTAACATCGTGATACTAGACAATCCTCTTTCTTGATCTTGAATTGAACTACTGAGTGGCTTTCTGCTCCTCTATGCCACCCTTTACCTGAGTCAGAGCTGGAGCAGTATGGGCTTTCCAATATCCTGAAAGGTGAAGTCTGATCTTGGTTGGATTTGAAAAAAAAATACTAATATGAAAAAAGTACAATACAAAAATAGTATAATCCTTACAGCAATTTATCAGAACCATAGGCAACTTGCTAGGGATTTTAATTTAAAATATTTTACTTATAACATTACTTATAACCATATTGTAAATATTTACAATATTATTGAGACTATACTAGTGATTTTTAAACCATTGAAAAGATAACCCATGCTTCTAGCATGTTACTCCATTACAGACATATTGCTTTCTTTAACAGTATTTGCATTAAGGTTTTGCACTATGTTTTATGTATTCATCATTTCTTGGTTGTGATCGAATTTGACCTGGCTTGTCACATTATTTTTTTCCCATTAGTATTTTCCCTGATGATGTTTCTCCGCTCACTAATTGCTTCAAAGTCCTGCAGATGTTTCTGAAAATGCTTTTATTATCACTGCTAATGGTGTTCCTCTTGGTTTGTTTTTGAAATCTTTTCCTGCCCTATTTGCCAACTCCCCAGATGGCTCCGTGTCTTATTCTTAATTTGCTCTTTTTTCCCCCTTTTTCAGAAATTCACCCTCTTTCATTGCTTCTCTCATCACAGTTCTGGCATGTTTGCATTCATGTAGCTCCCAGCCAAGTCTCTTGTCAAGCCTCCTGACAGTTGTCCCAGGTCTCTTGATACCTTTATGGTCCATCAAGTGTTTTTCAAATGTGTTAGGCTGTTGACTTTTTAATTAATTTATTTATTTTTATTTTCAACTTTCCTGACCATGTCTGACAGCTCCGTTAACTTGTCTCATGTGTTTTTTCCCTACTAAGGTAAAAGATGAGCAGTTTCAGTGTTGGTGGTGAAGAGAGATACACTTGGGGGTAGTTTTCAAGGACAGCAGGCTAACCAGTTCCTCTCAGGGAATGGGAATCTGAAATTCCTCAGAGCCCTGAAGGTCCTCTGACTTTTTAATTGTAGAGTCTCCTGATGGAGAATCTCCTGAAGGTAATTGTTAGAGGAAGGCAACTGACCCTGATTTTCTCTTCCCGGTCTCAGGCAGCAGGCTGTGCAAGGGAATGTGGGACTGCTATCTTTCACCAAATGTAAGATGAGATAAGTGGCCTTTTTCAGGATGTTAGAATATCAAAGTGAGATTTGTTGTGACAAATCTTAAGGTCACTGAGAACTTTTCCTTTTCGCTCAGAGACTCTCGCATGTCTGAAGAAGCCCTTCACTGTTTTCTGCAGGGCATTTGCTGTGATAATTGAAAGTAAGTGCCCACCTGAGAAAATTGCTTACGTATGTTTGATAGGTAGTATACAATGCTGATGCATGTGTGTCAGCAGAGCAGTTTATCATAAAATCACAGAATGTTTGGGTTGGAAGGGACCTTAAAAATCATCTAGTTCCAACTCCTCTGCCATGAGCAGGGACACCTTTCACTAGACCAGGTTGCTCAAACCCTCACCCAACCTGGCTTTGGTGCTTTGTCTGCAGCTTGTGAATCACATCTGATCAAATATTTTGAAGACATACTGAATTACTATAACCAGATATCACAATGTATGCAGTGATTTTTTAATACATATTCTGAGTTGCAAGTGAACTGTAAGTGAAGCATGCCTTCTGCACTCTTCTACGAGTACTAATCATTATTGTGGGCACTACGAAAACAGTGCTATTGTAGCTGGCACAGCACCCTTAGCAGAGCAGAGTATCTCTATAAACAGTGGAGAACTTCTGGCACTTCATCCCATGACACCCACAGGAACCTCCCAAGCTCCAGCAGAAACTGGAATGTTAAGTTAGAGGTCAGTTAACAGATGGAAGCCAAAACCATCACAGAAAAAATTAAAGACAGGTGAAGAGAGCTAATCAAGCCCTTCAGCATCACTGACCCTGCATAGCAGTCAGAGGTAGAAGAACCAGATTTTAATTTTTTTCGAAAAATACGTTTTTCGGTTTTGCTTTTCATTCCACAAAGGAATGAAAACGACAATTTAAAAAAAAAAAAATTCATTGGCCATAAAAGGCATTTCTCTAAGAGAAAAAAAAAAAAAAAAAGAAATTTTTTGTGGCCAGTTTAAATATTTTGCTTGTTAAAATCAAAACTTTTTGTTCTGACATTCTTTATTTCTAAACATTTTGAAACTTTTTACGTAGTAAAACCTCAGCAGAATGGGTTTCCGTTCCAAAGCCTTCTTATAAAATTAAGAATTTTGGTGCTCCATTCTGGAACCAATAACACATGGTGTTCTGACATTGAAGAAAGGCTGGTTTAAAATAAACTTTTTGGACCAGCCCATTTTTTTTTTCCACTTGACAGTTTTAAGTTTTGGTGCATTCTCTTTCTAGCCCATTGAGTTACATTTTAATCTGGAATCTGATCAACATAAACCACCCTCTCATAACTTATGAGCAAATGCAAAGTAGCATAGCAGCACTAGAAAGAAATTACTGGAGAGACATGGCAGATCAAGAGAGAGTAACAATGCAGGCAGACGCCCCTGGATGTCCACCAAAGATCTTTACTAAGCTCAGAAGAGACTTATTTACTTCTTCTATAGAAGAAAAATAATTAACTTAAAAATAACCTAGAATCCATTTACAGAAATATTTCTTTGTGCTATAAAATACATCTTGGTCATGTTTTTGCATATTTCTACCATTAAATATAAGCACTGTTTACTGTTTCTGTGGTTCTTCTTGTTAGCAGCAGTACTACCACTGCACAATACTCCCATCTAGTGACAGATCAAGAAGTTTTTAGTGCATTAACTTACTGTATGTATCGGAAGAAATGAACCCATTCATATACTGGCCTGTCACCAGACTAGAATCAAGCCATGTAAATTAAATAAGCATTCCTACCTTTAAAGTGAGTCTCATGACGCTACAACCTGTTAGATATTTTCCATTTTCTTAAGGACTAAGGAACAGATTTTCCCTGAGACCCAACTGAGCTTGTGGATAGGGTTGGGCTAATGCTTATGGATATGCTTATGGATATGCTTATGGATAGGGTTATCATGCTAATGAAGCCACTTCTTTCCTTGTGTGACTTCACTATGGCTAGGGAAGCCTCTTGGAAGAAAGACAGGAGAAGGATGCAGGAAGAGGAGGCATGTCGATAAATTTGTCTTTTTTCTATGCCATCAAACAGTGTTCACCAAATACAGAGGAAGCTTTGGCTGACAGGTGATCACATGCATTTCTTCTTACCACAAATCTGAGTTGGAGTTGGAGCTACTCAGAAAAATGGCAAATGCGCTAGATGCCAGGATGTAGTTTCATCTTTCCTTTGCAACAGTTTTGGTGTGTTTTTTTAATCACTGAAATCATTTTCAAAAAATCTCCCCCACTTCTCCGTCTATGAAAATTATCTCATGTGTTGCCAACTGATGCTTTCTTATCCCTGTTTTGAATACCATGACATTTTTTTGGCCATTAATTCAGTGTTTGTAACCTTTACAGATTTTTTGTCCAAAATATTTTTTTTTTTTTCCTGTTACCGTAATCTGAAGGGTTATGGTAGATTTGCCGTAGCCAAAAATGTATGATATCCAGCACAGGGTTTTTTTAAAAAATAAAGTGACATCTACATGCTTTCTCGAAAGCTGACACTGAAAAATGTTATTCTTGGAAACCTGCCTGTCCATGTTTCTTCTCTGGCTGGCATTCACAAATGTGTTTCTCTCTGTCTCTCTCCCTCTCCTATTCTTTTTGTTTTCTCACTAATAGGAAGGGGACAAGCAATTAATCAGAGAAACAGCCACGCACCAGCTCAACCCAGAGCGCTATGTTCACACTTTTAAAGATTTGTCTAATTTCTCAGGATCTATAAACATTTCCTATCGCTACCTAGCTGGCACGCCTTTGCCAAGGAAAAGTAAGTAACTGCAATCTGAATGTTATGAAATGAGGTAATTTAAAAATGGGTGAAATCCATATAGTCCCTGTGGTATTTCTAGACAAGAGAAGTAGAGTTTATCAGTGACGATCTCAAAGAGGTAGTGTGACAGCTATCTCTCTCTGCATAGGCAGTTCCTGGGCAGCCGCTAGTTCAGCCCGAGCAGTGACTGCTCCACAGCCTGGTTACCTTCTGACCAAATGTCTGACTTGTAGTCATCCTGCAGGCAGCTCTTGGATGTTCTCCATGAGCATATTTTTGTGGATCTCCCCTGAGGCCAGAAGGAGATTTAGAAAGCAGGAGCAATGCACATGCTCATGGCACTGTGTAACTACCCTCTGAGACCATACTGTCAGCCTCTGCCTGTATAACCAGTAAATCCAATCTAAAATATGCTTGGGAACTTATAGATACACCCCTCAGTTCCCCTCTTCTGCCAGTCCAGAAGCTGTGAATGGATTTCCTTGTTCCTTTAGCTGTAATAATGAAGGAGGTAAATTGAGCTATTATGTGGATAGTAAAGGAGGAATCGTCTCACAGCCACCTGCAGATGGTCTATCTACCTATTCTGATTTCTATATTTCACTTTCATCTTGAAGTGAAATATAGCCACACCTAGCTTTCAGACAGGTGTCCTTTCGGTTCCAAATCAATAATTTCACAAACATAAAGCAGGCTTAGAAGTCCAAGCATAGAAAGGAAAATAAAACCTTCTGTGAGTTGCTGAACTTCACAGAAAGCTATAAAGTAAAGTCTGTTCAAATTAGATTTGAGAAATTTGGGACCCTGTAGGCAGCATAAATGGCTTCTGGTGGTTGTATTTCACTGTACAACTGACTCAAGCCTCGAGGGAAACTCTGAATCACTTTATTAGAACACTCTTTTACAAGCCACAATAATTTAAGTCGGGGTAAGTTCAACTAAAGTATGCCCTGTCAATTATAAAGTCTTAACATTTTTTACATCAGAAGTTAGAAAAGTGGAGATATATTAGCGAATATCTAGAAAAACTGATTTGGACTGCTGGTAAAAATGCAGCGGCAGTGACTCCAAAACAGCAGAGATGAAAATTCTTTCCTTATAATTAAGATGCATCTCTCCCCAGAATGAAGAAACAGCATTAAAAAATATTTATGCAAGCTCAGGTATGAAGTAGTAAGTTCTCTTCTATTTTAAGACAATATTTAAATTACGTCTTGCAAGAGGGAGTTCCCTGTAAAATGATCAATGAGTCCTGAAAGAAGATTAAAAAAAGAGCTATTAGCAAGTAAAACTTGGACAAATTCAGTTAAAAATGAACATGCAGAAAAAAATGATCCATAAAATATCCATATATTCATAAAACTGTAAAGTTACACGTAAGTGTAACCAGTCTTGTAGAGTGCTTAAAATTATGAAAGTCTGGCAATTAAGCTATAGCTCATGTTTTTGTGCTGCATTTTATCATTTTAGTCCCTTGCTTTAAAAATATCGTGTGAATCATATCTCACAATCCCCTTTTTTTTTAGCAGATTTTACAGTCTTATCATTACCTATGTAGTTTCCTTTACCAGGCATGTATGTGCTCATTGCTTTGGCTTTTGTCCACCACATGCCATTCCTCGCAGTTAACAAGTGAATGTTTAATGCAGTAGTCTCCATATGTCTATTTGCTTGCAATACGATACTCCTTTAATGAAAAGGCAATAAACGTCCTTTGTTGCATGCAGCTTAGTAGGTTCACATACTAAATTTCTCAGTCTTCACCATTCAAAAGGTTTGTTTAATATAAGCACAGCTCTGGAGTATAGCTTTATGGTGAAACAGTTTCCAACGTCAGATACTCAGTTGTTGTTTGAATTGTCTTTTGTACAGGGTATCTTACAATTGGGCTGTCCTCTGTGAAACGGAAAAAGGGAAACTACTTGCTTGAGACCATCAAGTCCATATTTGAGCAGTCAAGTTATGAGGAACTCAAAGAAATCGCAGTGGTAGTACAGCTGGCAGATTTTGACGCAGCCTGGTGTGAAGGGATGGTCCAGGATATTTCACAGAAATTTGCACATCACATAATTGCAGGCAGATTAATAGTTATTCACGTCCCTGAGGAGTATTATCCAGTACTGGATGGCCTCAAGAGAAATTACAATGACCCAGAGGACCGTGTGAAGTTTCGATCCAAACAAAATGTAGATTATGCTTTCCTTCTTAACTTTTGTGCTAATCTTTCTGACTATTATGTGATGCTAGAAGATGACGTTCGTTGCTCAAAGAATTTTTTGACTGCTGTTAAGAAAGTAATTACCTCACGAGAAGGATCCTACTGGGTGACTTTGGAATTCTCCAAACTGGGGTATATTGGAAAGCTTTACCATTCCCATGACCTCCCACGCCTGGCCCATTTTTTGTTGATGTTCTACCAAGAAATGCCTTGCGATTGGCTGCTCATCCACTTTCGTGGGCTGTTAGCTCAAAAAGAAGTGATACGTTTTAAGCCATCTCTGTTCCAGCACATGGGATACTACTCGTCTTACAAAGGAGCTGAAAACAAGCTAAAGGATGATGATTTTGAAGAGGAATCATTTGATATCCCCGACAACCCACCTGCAAACTTGCACACCAACATGAATGTATTTGAAAACTATGAGGCAAGCAAGGCTTACAGCAGCATTGATGAGTACTTCTGGGGCAAAGCTCCTTCTACTGGAGACTTCTATGGGATTGTATTTGAAAAGCCCATTAAAATCAGTAAAATTAAAGTTGTCACTGGAACTGAAGACAGGCAAAACGACATTTTGCATCATGGGGCCCTGGAAGTAGGAGAAAAGATAGTAGGGAGTAAAAAAGGGAGACAATGTACTACTTACTTGAGACTAGGAGAATTCAAAAATGGGAATTTTGAAATAACAGATGTAGAGCACAAAGTTCTGTTTGATATTAACTGCATGAGAATACTTGTTACCAAAAGTCAAAAAGAATGGCTGATCATTAGGAGCATTAGCGTCTGGACTTCTCAAACACCAAATCAATAAAGCAAAGCCACCTGAGAAGGTACAAAGTGCATACAATCAGCTGGGTACTAACTGGTGCCATTTCCCAGAAAAACTGACTTTTCTGACTTTACTAGAGACACAGAAAATCTGTGGAAATCACAGAACAAGCAAAGCAATTTATTTTTTACTGGTTTGGCCAGGCAATATACAAACACTTATTTGTTGAAAATTTTATAGGAAATGCAAAGTTCTAAAACCTCTCTTAAGATCTTGAATCCCTTTTTTATTATAATTTCTCTGTAAGAGAGATCTTCTGGACTAAACGGAACAAAACAAAACATCTTATAATTACCAAGAGTTTTAAAGCTATGACCAGTATGTTGTGAAAAGAAATTGGATTGCACCTTACGCACATAAAAATTTAAAATGTTATGGTAGTATGCATTTGTACAATAGTTGGTGATGTGTTTCTTTTAAAGGCAGTTGTGACAAGGAAATCTGTCCTGAAACTGGAAGCCTCATTCTAAGCACTGTAAAAAAATAGTGTGGCTAATCATTGCAACTTCTTTTCAAAAGGGAATGTATGTAAAATTATAAATCTGACATGACAACAGTGTAAAAAATAGATAATTGCATCTGTTATTCTGTCTCAACAAATATCCTTTGTTCTTTTTCCTGGGTCCTTTCACTGAAATGAGCACTACTTGGATCCTATATTACTTAGGGGACCAGTTTACTCTCCTTATTCGGACAAAATGCTGCACAGTAAGAAAGCATTCTGCTTGAGTACAGATGTCACTATCAAACCTAAGCACCTCAAGGGCAACACTGTTCTCTTAGACAGGCATCCTAACAGATCTCAGCTTCAACATTTTCTGTTCCTTCATGATATGCAGAACTCCCTGTGAGAAATTTGCACATAGCTGAATACTTCAGCATGCTTTCCAAGGACCGTTATGCCTTCCACATCTACATGTCCAGTCCATGTGTGATACGACTGTAAGGTTCACCACGTTAATCAATTGGAGGTGAATGTAATCACCAGCCTTTCCTGGATGATCTCTAGCCAACAGAGCAGGCACAAAATGAAGAATCACGATTAAAAGAAAAATTAATATGTTACTAAATTAATTGGGGCGTTTTCTTCAGTTTTCTAATTCTGATCATGTTAGTTTTGTAGATACCTTCCCACTGCCTCTGGTTATTCCCTGTAAGCTTAGTTTGCCTGTCTTTAGCCAATAAGCAGAAAAGTTCCCTTAGTCATCATGACTTCAGTGTCAGCTCTGGGCTTTTAGTGCATCACACAGGGAGACTGTATAGCTATAGGATTATACGTTTGGATTAGCAGAATCTATTGGGGTTTTTCTTCTAAGAAATTCTCCAGACTCTCTCACTATACACACTAAGAAATCCATGGGTATCAAGTGTGACACAGGTAAAAACTGTGTTTGTCATGAAAACTGTGTCTCATGAAAACTGTTTGTCACCTAAGTGTGTATATGGCTTTTAGTTAAACCTGGAAGGCAAGAATTATATTTCAAGAATAGCTGCACTGGCCAAGAGTGAACTACTTTACTCAGTACATCCAAACCTAACATGTCTGTTTCAGAAGGGTAAATTATTCAAAAATCTGCACAAAACTGCAATGCAATTGCTTTTCATCATTCATAAATCCTGATAAATTCAGGTCCAGGTTTGGCAAATCCCTCAATACAGAGGTAAGGTACATTTTAAAATAATCTGATAGATGCTTCTGTGTAATTCAGAAAAGCATCCTCTTCTCAAATAAAGTCTTTGTTTCTTTGTTCCTTGATATACACCTAAATCTAATATGCATATCTTCAGTAAAATAGTTTAAAAGTGGCATACATGTTCAATTTTGAAAGGAAAATAACATCATTTTTTAAAATGAAAAATATGTGTTAATCTCCAATGGTTATAAATACTTATGAAGGACTTGCTTTTTAACAGTGATCTTCCATGAATTAGTCATTAATCAATGCCTTTTTTTTTTTTTAAATGATCTGTCATTCTTCTATTTTTCCTTTCCTTGATCATTAACTATTAGTGCCAAAACAAACATAACTGGGTTAACCAGGAGCATTACCTTTACTCTTATGTCCAAAAAAATCTAAATTAAAATGGAAAATATACTCCAACCCAAGGTTTAAAATGTTCTTGTAATGAAAACCATACACAATGTGAATGGCTAGTACAAATTAAATGCTCTCAACATAAGCTTGAAGTAATTTAAAAGGTATTTTTGAATTAGGATCTGAAAACTGCTTTCCTTTTTAAAACAACAGTAGTAAAGAGTTTCATCTTCGATATCATGGCTTAGCAGCGAGAATTCTCATCTGACTGTTGCAAGTCAGAGAGGGTCAAACCCAAACATGCTAAGTGAATGCCCTCAAAAAAAGCTTTCCTTGGGTGTGGATAGTTATATGTGCTGGCAATGACAGGCATGCACCATTCTTCCTGTTGAATTTTAGTTGATTCTGAAAAAATAAGTAACAATACATTTACTCCAGGAGAGGCAAGAACACAATTCTGTAAGCTAGTGTTTTGAGCACTCATCTTAGTGCTTGGGTCCCAGCTCCTCCTCCACAGAGTGTGTATTTTATCCAACTCATTCACATGAAAAAAGTTGCTGAATTTTGAAAAAAAAAAAAAAATAAAAAAGCCATAAAATAAATGATAACTGGTTTTCAGGCAGATTTCACGTTTCAGAAAGATATGTTGGAAGATACATTTTTTTCTCCATGTGCTAAGTGATTGCCTTCTGAAAGGAAAATATTTAATCAGACATGTATATGTTCACTAATGCTTCTTAAAGTTTGGATTTTCTTTTTTTCACTGATGAATCAAAAGATTAGCAGTGTCACAAAGCTCCGTTCATTGGTGTACACAGTTGGTTGTGTTCTTTCTAGTTCATTTGTGGACTGAACATCAATATTTTCATACTGAAATGCCAATACTGAAAATATTACACTGTGGTCTGCACACTGATGGATCTGTTCTTCACTAACGTGCATGTATTGTTCCTATTGGCACTGTTTGGGATTCCTCATTGTATAATGTCCCTGAGCCTTTTTATTTTTTTTCTTAACTAAAAGCCACTTGTCTTCTATCATTCTTCAGATAGTGTAATCCCTCTGACATAGAGAACTGTTGGGAAGTAAAATACTATTCACTGTGAAATAAGAGAAGAACTGAGCCCTTAATTTACTGAAGAACAAACCCAGAAGACAGTAATTTTCAGGCAAAACTGTTTTAGCATATTTACTATATGTGTTGTGACAGAGATAATTTACTAAGGTGCTATATGAATGTGTTGGGTTTTAGATCAATATTCTGACATGATGCTCTGTTTTACTCTCTGCTCAGTATTCTCTTGTGTTAGATACTAATGTTTTTGCATTTATAAAGGGAAATTGAAAACTTGTTCGTTATTGAATTATTAAAAATCAAATAAACACCGAACTATAACACCTTAAAAAATATTTCATGTTGGAAAACTATTAAAGGAAAAAACCCACATCGTTAACCATTTTAAAAACTGCAGATGCAATCAACTTTCATTGTGAAGCATTTCAAGAATTCTGACGGAAATGACAGTTCTTACTACTGTCATGTTAAATCTGCAGTTCTGTTAGGCTACTTTTCAATAAGTATTAAATTACGAGTAATAATGCAGATCATGTATCATGAGCTTAAGCAGTGTTATATCCTCAAATAGTACAGTATAATGTTTTGCAAAACACAGGTGGAAAATATAGATGTGTTATAATGAAAACAAATTTAAGTGATTTTGATGTCATCTTCTATATACGAAGAAAAATGAAATGCGTGTCCACCACTCCATCAGGTTTTCAGATAAAGTAAAATAAGAGGCTTCACTTTTGCTCTTCTCTCCTTAGTTCTTGGAGATGAAAACTACAAAATTTCTGCTCCCTTTAGCGAAAGCAACATTGATCTATATATTATAAAAGAGTGAAAATGTTGATTTTGCAAAATAATTATCTTTTTATATATAAACAAATATTTGTCTTATCTTTTCAATTTTAGTTTTAGCCATCCTGGAAGGCTGAAATGAAAATAGTCTCCAGACAGATGTATTTTGGTGTCTCCGGATGGCGTTTTCCAAGTTCTTGCCTCTTTTACTAGTTTTGTCACAGCAAATACACTCAGTGTCACCTAAGTATTCACGCCCATTAGCAGCACAGTCAGGCATGTAGACTAAGGCTATATTGCTGCTTCTGTAAACGGAGAGAAAGAGGACCACGTCCAGAGAGTGTCCAACAGAGTCATCTCTACTTACTATGGTGGGAAGCTATGCAAGTTGTTTGGCTTGAATGTTCATTTCCTAGATAACTAGAGATTATGTATAATACGTATAAATCTAGATAAAATACATGATACATATAAACCTTTAAAGATAGCTTCCTACCAGCAGCACCCCTCTTCACAGCAGGGATGTTCAGTATCTTCATAAATACTATCTTGCAATTTCAATTAAAATAATTTGTTGAGCTTTAAAATAAGGACTATAAATCTCCACCTTGACTCTAAAGCATTATTTATTACATGTTAGTTTAAGTACAGAGAAAGATTAATTACAATAACATTTCCATAATAGCAGTTTGTTGCTAAATTGGCATAAAATTGAATTGGCATCTGGGCAGATACTAGGCTATTTTTCAGCAACATTTCTAGATGTTCTTCAACTGTCCTACTGCCTATTACAAATTCTCAAATAAAATTCCACTTTGTCCTGACAGTTGTAAAAAGGCGCTTAAAATTCCACATAGAACTTGAAAGTACTTTAAGTAGGGTTATACTGCTAATTAAAACTCTTGCCAGCCCTTTGCTGGGCTTGTGTAAGAGTTTCACATTTAATGAGTAAAGCTAAACATCAAAAGCTGATGCTCATTTCCTCTGCTTAGCTGGTTAAATAGCTGCCTTCCCTCTTTCTTGCTGTTCATTCATTCACACTGGCTTTGCTTTTGTCAGTTCAGAAAACCTTCCTGGCAGCCATG